TTCGGCTAAAATAGCTTCCTTGAACTCTTCAGAAGCTTTTTCTCTAGATCTCCTTATGGCTCTAGCTAAACCAGAATGATAATTTGGAATGGTGAGCAGCTTGTCTAACTGATAATCTACATGGAAGGTTCTGGAGGTAAGTGGCAATGTTGAAACCGTGATCCGTGACTGTGCTACGGATAAGTCATGTGATCAAAATGATCGACATAGTTGACAAAGTTGACGAAGTTGATAGAGTTGTTAAAGTTATCAACGTTGATCAATTTAACATATTTATCATATTTAACATATTCATCATATTTATCATATCTGTTATATTTGTTATATTTGTCATAGTTGATTTTTTTTATTATTTTATTTTATATAAATATCTTGTATTTTCCCTTGGGTTGAAAGGTAACTCAAGTTAAGGTTTTAGGATAAACCAAGAGTTCAATAAAGGAATTGTTAAATTCATTTACTATTACCTTTTGTCGTGTCTTTATATAGGCGTGATTGTGATATTGTCTTATATTTAATTCAACGAATTGAATTAAAAGTTTATCGTTTAAGTTTACAGATACCAAGCCAACAACGTTAAATTCTGTAAGTTGTTCTATCAGAGCTGGCATTAATCTTTTTTTTACATTCTTAGGTTTACTAGAAACTTCAGTTTGCATTAGAGCGGGATTCATTTGCATGAACTCTTCAGTGAGATTTGGTATAACTGTTGATTTGAGAAACCTTCTAAGGCTCTCTTCTCTTTGAGACTTTATGCGTTTGACTATTTGGTTTTTAGATGTTAGATTATCGGGATATGGTCTTAATCGAGTGTTCAGATAAACTTCATATTCTTCATTTTCTTCCGTTTTATAGCTATAGTTGTCGTATTATTCATTGAGATATTGATCGGCTAAATGCATTTTTCTAGTTTCACTAAAATGAGGTCTACAATTATCTTGGCGATGTCTTCGAGACTGAGTACAATTTCTTGCAATGTGTCCTGAAGTATTATAATTAAAGCAGATAAAATCATTAGGTCCAGTGTTTTGAGGTTGATAAGCATTAGTATTAGGTCCGATATTCTGAGACCTATAAGTAGTTTCATTAGGTCTGTTTCTTCTTCTCAAAACCAGTAGTTGAGCTAACATTGCTGAAGATAGATTGGCATAATTTATGGTAAGTTGTTCCAACTTCTTTGTGAGTTCATCTATTTCAGTACTAACAACTGGGATGGGTTTCGATAGAGTAAAAGTGGAAGTGAAGGATGTTATACTAATATCCCTTGGAGTTTTTTAGGTAGCGAAATTGTAACTGATTTTAATATTTCTGGTAGCATTTACTGTAGTAGCCAAATCATTGGGATTTTGTGCATACATCATCGGAATATAAGCTGGATTTAATCCTATGAGAAACATTCGTTTTTGTTAGACATTATCAGTCAATCCTACTCTTTTTACTAATTTGTTAGCGTAAGAATTCACTGATTCGTCTGAATATTATCGTAAGGAGGTTAATTTCAGATACCATTGATTCTTTCGGGTTTCATTAATAAACCTGGTGTTGAATATATTCACAAAATTGTTTTCATTATTTGTAGTTATAGCCCAATTATCTCCCATGGTTACTGTATTTTCTTCAAACCAGTCAGCTGCAACTCCTTTTAAGTATCCTCCAGCTATGACCTTCTTCTTTGCAACATCAATCCATCGGTTAATGGTGGCAGCTTTTTCAAAAGCAGTGAGCAATTTCACAGGATCTTCAGCTTCAGTGCCATAAAAGTAATCAACCTTTGCTGTAGTTCATTCAGTTTGTTCTAATGCATTCAATCAAGCTCTATCTATTCTAAAAATTCCTAATATCATCAAAGTTACATTCTTTACAATCATTTTATACACGGTCTTTACAATTAAATAAACCTTCATCTTCTCCTTCCCTCTCATCACCATCACCATCATTATCACTATCACCATCACCATCACTATCATTTTCATCAATATCAACAGCAACAAATGTAAAACTACTATTACCACTATTACCACCATTATCACTATCACTACCACTATCACCACAACCACCATTACTGTTGAAACTAGCAGAAACTGACAGGCCAGTTGTATATAACAAATCTGCCAAATCTACCATATTTGCCAAATAGGACAGACATAATATTTATTATATTTCTATTATTTACATTACTATCATCATTTATATCATATCTAATATAA